TTTCATTTTTCCGCGACATTTCCTCGACTTTCGTGGAATCCCGTCTTCCTCTTCTCTTACCGAAATGTCCCTTCCTTCATTAATGCTCGCGATCGGAATTCAATTACCGATACCCGTGACAACTGTACAATACAGGGTGTCCCACCGAATGTGAGCACCTTGGATATCTTACTAGCTTTTCACTCGAAAAAATTTATTTTAACAAATCCTCAAAGTGATGTCCATCAACTCTGATGCATTTTTGCAATAATCCCTCTATATACTAATACTCAAGGTCACAATTACGCCACGCTGATAAAAATATGTAGTCCCATCTAAAAATACGTCGATCACCTTGAAATTTTGAAAAATGTGACTTTAAGAAAAACTTTTTGCTTATTATAGTACAGTAAAGACTTCATGAAAGTTGGGTAGGAAGTTCCTCGTGAGAGTTTCCACTTCATCCCCCTGAATGGGAGAGGGGAGCAGCATGGAACCTTTCAAGCGCATAATTTATTGCTCACTTTTCGTTGTCCAGGCTCAATGTTGGTACAAAAAATAGATTTGTGAGGTGTTGAAACGATTCCGCGGTGCACGATGAAAGCTTCGAAGCAGTCCCGAGTTTCAAACTCTTATAGAGTCTTTACTGTAACACGAACCCTATTCATCGATAATATAATTTCCAGTGATTTCGATTCCGACGTGCCGAACACGCCGTTCGAGTTAATTATTGCACGTCCCGTCCCGCGATGATACAAAGGATGGTATCGAGTTAATTACATACGCGATATCGACAGACCCCGATTTAATCCACGGCATACAATTTGGGGGTCGATGTATCGTGTTCCCTAGACAGGAAGCCTTCTTCGATATCGATCCGCGCCTCGTCGCGTCGCGGAAGACAGTTCATAGAGCAGCGTGTTAGGTTGTTTACTCGTTCACCGAAATCGTTTTCTTCTCTCGCGGGTTTCGTTGGTCCAGGCAAGCAAAAAACTTCCACCTCGTCGTTTATCCGTTTTCCATGGAATTTCGAACTGGAAAAAGCTTTCGGAACCGAGACGACTACTGTCACGGACTGCTGCCTCGGTATATACAGGGTGTCCCACCCAACGTGAGCACTTTCAATAAATATCTCTTATTTCTGAAAATAGAAAAAAGAAGGGAAAATATTATTTGGTTAGAAGAAGCAAATACTATGATAAGCACAAACTTTTCTGAAGGTCATATTTTTCGAAATTTCACGGTTGTTTTTTTTAAATGACACCACATATTTTATCAGTGTGGCGTACTAGTTCAAATCAAGACCAATCCAGGAGAGTAGATTTAAATAATAAAATCTATGAGAGTAGATTTAAAATAATTATGATAAAGGGATTAGTGCAAAAATGTATCAAAGTTGATGGACATCACTTTGAGAAGTTTTGAAATAAATTGTCTGCAAAACAAAAGCAATTAAGATATTTAAGGTGCACACGTTATGCAGGACACCCTATATATGTACATATATTTTGGGACGTCTCCGTGGACCTTGGTCAGTGGCCACATCTTCGCTCCGCTTAGGTAAACTTCATGAAAAGAATCAGAATGCATAATACACGAGCCCGTGAATCGACCACTGCCTCGTATCGAGTCGCAGCTGTTTACCGAACGCACGCGGCCAGGCTCGTAAGGAAAAGTCCAGCAGAATTTTTTCAGCCGTCGAACGACCCGAGAAGTTGCGCAGGTAGTACGGAAACTGGATAAACTTTGTGTTCCGTGCCGATTTTTCCAGTGGGAGCGGATGAAATACTTCTGTCTCGGTCGATCGCGACGAAATTCTAGCGACTATATCTGGAATGCAGTTAGAAAAACAAGGCTAGTCGGTTTCCAAGAACATGTTTTCTTTATCTTTCATTCTGAGCAGAGTCGAAAATTGCAGCGGCGCGATTGCTAGCTGGAACGAACAGAGCTCTGGTGGTGTCCTAAATGAAACCAGAGTCAGTCCCGTAGCGCAAGGGAAACGTGTCGTTAGGACAGCAAGAAGACTTTTTTAGGGTTTCGTTTATGACCGCTCGGAGATCTGGGGGTAGCTCAGCAGCTTTTGGGGGTAGACAAATGTCTGGATCGCGGGACCATCGTCTATGGACCAAAGTATTTCTTTGCGACGCCGTAATACCCCACGTTTCGAAAAGGAATTAAAAGTCAAAGGAAATCAACCCCTCTGGGGACGATTTCCGGACTTTGAAACTCCTCTTGATAAAAATTTGCGAAACAACCCGAGTAAGCGTACCTACATCTCGAAATCATCGGGGACCAACTGTTTTCTTTTAGAATGCAATAAAATTTTTTAAAGAGTCCAACGGACGAAATATCATTTCGTACGGCGAGGGGTAAGGTTAATCCGACCATTCTCGGGACGCTGCGTTAATAAAGAATGAAAATAAGTTGAAAGTAGCAGGTGTTTGCGGCCGCGTAAAAAGGAGCAGATCTTCTGCTGGGGTGAAGATTTTTATGAAGAAGTAACCCCGCCCCTTCCTCGCGTTTTTCATATTTTATCCGTTTAGCTCTACTAGACACGACGACGTTCTCCCCTAACTGCTCGATTGAAATTGAATTTCGCGCGACACACCTTTGCTACGAATGAAATTCAATGTCACAGGCTTTTGTGTATTTTGAAAATATTTTACTTGAAACGTTTAGGGCATTATGGTCGCGCAAATATTGTGGCTCTGCAACAGAACAAGTTAGCTGTTGCATCGTCGGCCATGTGTATGGATTCGTGTTTTTATACAGTAAATCTTCAACGAGTGCTCGAAGGCTCCTCGGCCAATAGTATTTGTTTCAGCCGCATATGATTATTAGTTTATGAAATATTTCTTCGAATATTACTTCGAACACTCGTCGTGGATTTACTGTACCCGACAGATCCTGTGCTGGCTATTACGAAAATACTTGGAGAAAATCGGAAGTACTTCGAAGATATTCCACGGGCGTCGCTGCATTTCCCCCCAAGCAAATCCAGAGTTCGTGCTCGGAGGCGTTGAAACAAGAAATTTCACCGGAAATCCGAAGTTACGATAATTCGGTATTTTCCTTTGTGCGGGGGAAGATCGCACCGGATTCCGAATGCGACCGTCGTGTCGTCGCAGCGACGCGTTTGTTCCCTGAAATCAGACGTGTTCGAACCCATCGACGTCCAAGCGAACCCCGCGAAGAAGGGAAGAACCCTTTAAATTCCAGCAGAATTCGATGGTGGAATTTTTCGCGACATCAAACAAAAATGTATTAACTGTCCAAATTAATTCGTGGCTTCCTTTTCATAGATTTGTTTATTTATAAGAAACCGAAATAGTCTTCTAGTCTTGAAAATATTCATCACTAGACTGCGGATTTTATGCATTTATAGCCTATAGGTCTCAGTGAAATACAATGAAGGACAAAACTTTCGTTAGATGCAACGAGTTTTCTATTTTCTCTTGAACCCAATAAGATACTTAGGGCAAGAAAGAAATGTCTACTTTTGTTTTTGTCTTTATTAGCAACCTTCTAAAATGTGATTTTGCATAAAAGTCCGCAGTCTATTCATCACTTTCTACACATTTACGCCATTTCTCAGGCAGCTGAATCCCCTCTCGAAGAAATGGTGACGATTTCGAGTCAGTTAATTACTTGTTGGGGTCACGAATTAATTTTGTACACCTAATATATCGATGTTGCAACCGTTTCTAGCTGTTTCTTTCGGAACTATTTTCTCGATCGGTCATCCGACGAGGCGACCGCGTCGCGTCGGTGCGCGAGTGTTGGCCGTTAAACTGTTTTCTCATTCCGCCACGAAGTTCCCGCGTAAACTGTATCCTCGAATATCTCGATACGTACTCGCCCATGGGTTTTTCTCGCGGAAAACTTTGTTATTACGGTGAAACGTGAATTATACCCGTTTCCACCTGGCGCCGATGTGCTTTTTCTTTTTCCCTTTCCCCCGCCAGACGACTACGCCTCGCCACCGTCGCCCCTCCGACGATCTTTTTGCCGCAACACGAAACCACCCGAAGAATATCTTGCACGTTCAACGATCCGTCTTCGATTTGACGCACGACGAACCGTACAGACTACCTGTAAAAAGAATGAAAATATAAAAATCTAACAAACGATCATTTCAACTAATTCCCATTCACACTTTTCCACTTGTTTTCTATTTTTCACTTGTGAGTTTAAAGTTAGAATTTTGAAAGCGATTTTTTCGTGGTAATAATATTATGCGTGCGTTAGCGTTGGACACTTCGAGGCAAAGATTACATATGAATTTTGTCGTGATCATAATAAAGAGCACTTGTTTAAAAGAAAGGAATCCTCGAAGAAAAAACAATGTAGAAAGATTCGTTGGATAATTAAAAATAAGAATGTATAATAGAATACAGTTACTAGTCGTTCAGTTTACTTCTTTACGTTAAAGCAATTTTCCCACGCGCAAGCACGTGTTCCAAACGAATAACGTTAAAGGACAACCTTTGTTTCCAGGTGAACGGGAGTTGAGTTCGCTGGTCGATGCAAAATGGCAACGTTCGAAATGCCCACGATCCGTCGTACAGCCACCCAATGGGAATAGAGTGGAGAGCCGTTGTTCCGAAAACCGTCGAAAGTTCCACGAATCGAGCTAGCTACTCGTCAAGATGCTTTCGCTATACACACGTCCATAATGAACGCGACGCGGGTGTGTCGCACCTGTTGCATCCGGTGCAGTTTCTCCCGTAATCTTTAAACGGTCCGTTCGATTAAAATATTGATGCCACGTCGACGTAGCGACGAGAGGAACAAACGATGATGGGAGATCGAGTCGGGCCGGAGGGGAGGACGAACCAACGTAGCTTCGATTTCGATCGGGAACTGAGTGTGCACGGCGATCGATTCTCGGGCGTTCACGGGCGAACTCTCGAGTCCTAAGATTGAAATGGACAAATTAGCTCGTGTGTCATCGGGGGCAACTGTAAGTAATAAATGTGAGCAAACGCAGAGAAAACGAGTGTGCGCGCGCGAGAAGGGGGAGAGGCAAGATGAACAACACCGGGAATGGAACCGAGTCACGAATATGCCTTCTACAGGAGGATTTGGAGGATCCTCGAACGTCGTCGTTGAGAAGGATCAGCTACGGGATTATTCTGCCCGCCATCTGTTGCTTGGGAATCATCGGGAATATTTTGAACTTGCTTGTCCTTACTAGACGCAATATGCGAGGGATCGCTTATATTTACATGAGAGGTAGGTTTATTACAGCGAAGCCTCGATGACTGCTCGAACGCTCCTCCATATTTCGTAAACCAATGGCAATTTGCAACTGAAAAAAAAATATTGTCGACTTCAGAATTCCAGCGTTACACCTGGGGAACTCTCCTTGCCAGTGTCGAGGAGCCTTCGAACACTCATCGATGATTTACTGTATAACTCGATTCTGATGGAAAAGAGCAAAATGCATTCGGAATGTAGCGACACAGCCGAAGAAATAATACGGAAACGGGGGTGTAATTATCGTCGAGAGCGTAACTCTCGAAAGAAGTGACGCGGAATGAGAGAAGTAGGATCGTTAGTTGAACGCGGGCCGCGCAATATCCGAGGACAAAGTTGTTCCCGAGTTTACGTAATATTCGAATGAAAAACACAGTCGTGTTAACGTTTCAGAACTCATCGGTAACTTTCAACGGAAGATGCTCGCGGCCGTTAAATCTCCGTCTCTTCGGCGACAGGAACGTTCGTCTCTTTTATCGTGTATACTGGGTGTGTTCGGCAACAGGTGGGAGAAAATTTATGAAGCGATTCTACGTGACACTTTAAGACAAAAATCAAGAGTAACGAAATTGCTGTTTATCGATTGTTTTTTAGTTACAAGCATTTAAAAATTGTAGCGAAAACGCCTGAAACTAGGTAACACAACCGGCAAGCACAGAATGTATAGTCTCCGTAAAGTCAGTGGAGACAAGAAACAAACCTTGCAGAAGCTTTGGTGCTACAGGAACTTGTCACTTTTGAAAATTACAACGAAAATGTACAGCAAACATTTACACTAACTACACCACACAAACTTGAACTAAGTTACACGGAAGAAACAGTTAAAAAGTCAGTAGAGAAATACTTTCGAAACCGATGTTGTGCATGCATCGAGGGCGCAAGACGATCTGTGGTTAAAATCTTCCTTGGAAAAAGTCAGTCCTTTGCAGATCGATCCCTACTCTTCCAAGGTGATTGTTTTCACCGAGGAAAATCGAAAAGGAAACATGTGCCCGAATCGTGTACCTTTTCGTGACCGTTGGGTGAACATCTACGAGACACTTGAAAATGTTGACGATTGCCTAGTTCCAGGTAGTTTTTACTCTAGCATTTATATGATTATAATTAACAATAAGAAACAATGACTAAACTGTAAGTTTGTTACTCTTGATTTTTATCTTATTTTATTCATTTTGGATATACCCCTTAAATTTTCTCCTACTTGTTAATGAACTATAATTCCAAGTGTACCTGGGTGTTACAAAAAATATACGAAATCTTTGCCAAATGAAAACAGTGGATTCGTGATTTTGACATCGAGCCAAAATGTACACAGTCGCGGAACAACCGCTTTCGGATAAGTTTTAAACTGGATTCCCGGTTAAGCTTTTATTTATCGACCTATCTCTTAAACAGTCCTCGCGGTTACGGTTTTCGGTCGAGTTTATTGCTGGTTTAACTTGCGTCTAATTCCACCTTATAGCTCTCGCGACATTCAAAGCTCCGTCGATTTCTTTTATCGATACGAACATTCCCGGAGAATCTGTTGAAAATTCGAACGACACGCCATTCGTAGGTTCGCTGAAAACAGAAACAACCTGTCCGGATTAAGGCTGTTACGAATACTATAACACTCGAATAATTTGATTGTATTCGAAGTATTCAAAATATTCAAAATATTCAAAGTATTTGAAGTATTCGAATATTCGAAGTGATCGAATTTTGGATTATACTGAATAGGAATCTGAACGTAATATATTTTTTCACACTTTATCGTGAAATTCTTTTCACATTGGCCTTCACAATTATTTGTTTTTCAAACGTTAAATCTGAACCATCGCCAGAAAGTTACTGTTATTCGAATACTCTGTACTATTCGAATTACTCGAATACTTCGTACTATTCGATGTACGGTTCGTTGGTTGATCGTTGTTTCCGAAATTCACGGGGCAGCGTCTCGTTTCCGGTTAGACAACACCAGTACATTAGGGGGAAATTACTCGGCAATTCGATTTTGGCCTTTTCCTCGTTTCTACCTCTTCGTTTGCAATAGACTCGTATTGACGGTAGACTCCGAAATGTATCGCTCCGTTCGGACAATCGTCGGTCCACCGCTTCTGGAACATCGGAAACGTTCTCTCTCTTATTATCAATTTATTTAACAGGCAATAAGCCCTTTGACATACATGTACAGGTCGGGAAATGAGATACAACATTACAAAATTATCAAAATTACAAAATAAAGACAAAATTAAACGAGAACAGTTACCTACCTAGAGAGTACTATAATAACATTTAATCATTGAAACACAGTGTCGAGCGTTAATTAATTATCGATCTTTTATTTGAAGGTACGGTCCTATAAAAGCATAAGAATCTGACCGTTAGTGGAATATCGATCAGCGAACCGAACCAGCCTGTGTTCCTACTGGCGAGGAAGAGAATTTTGGTCGAAATCACCGCGCGTTTGTCCTCAAAGATTACCTGTCGGCGTATTCCGGGCGCGAGTCCCCCGCGATATTCCGGTGGACGGAAATCGAGGAATTGACGCTCGCGGCGCGGCACGGCGAGGCACCAATCGGATACGGCATCGGTACTCGCAGGGTGCGATCCGCGTGGAATTTCCGTTTTATTTACTTTTCCCGGGGCGTTGAATTCGCACGGTTCCTCGTCGCTCCGCGCGGCGGTGGTCGAAGGAAGTTGGAGAAGAAACGAAAAGAGTCTCGATCTCGTTAGCCACCTTTGTATATTCGTTATCCGTAAAATAAGCCGTGTTTCCTTTGTTCTCGTACGATTTTTCTTCCTCTCGTTTCTTCGCAACCGTGTAGCTTCTTCTGCTTTATTTAATTAAGTTATTTAATTAAGTTAACAGGCAACTATCCTTTGGTTTTTCTTTGCCTGTTCCCTTCTCCAAACACCATTATCTCCCCCCTTCCTTTCGTGCTCTATCACTTTTCCCGTTCCGGATTCATTTTTCATCTTTCCCTTCTCTCTTCCCTATCACACCCAACATTCCCCTCTCTTCTTCCCTTACTCGTTGAAGTTTTTTTTCCTCTTCCTCGTTCTCCACCTGTCGCCAAGCGTTCGGTGTCTCGCTCTTTCTTTTCCTTGAAACGAGGGATCGGAGGCGCGGATTTCCGATATGCATCGTGCTTTAATTGTTTCCATGGAGCTTTCCATACTTGCAACGAATGGATCCCGATATCCATTAATCCATCTCACCGTAAAGACGGCTAAACAGTACGCCAAGCTTGGCGAGGAAAATTTATCCTCTGGCTGCGTTTCATCGACTGCACCAACGGCTTTTGCGCGAGTAGGTACGTTCGACGCGCAGAATTCGCGCGATGAGAACGCTACGTTAGACGTTGCTCGAACGATTCCGTTCTCATCGGAACATATCGCACCACCAATTTTTCGGATCCATGATCTCACACCGATAAAACCGTACGAAGTAAACTCTCGATACGAAATTCCACCGTTTCGATGAATCTTCTGGTTGCTTCGCTGTACACGGAAAAACGCGCGATCGAGTATACGAGGATCGAAGGACGATTCCAGGAGGATTTTACGCTTAGGACCAACGCAATAGTGGTTCAGAATGAAAATTGATCAGCTCATACGCTTCTTTAGCTCAAGCGATAAATGCTTCTGAAACTTATACGTATTATTCAAGCAGAGGTTTTATTAGTAATCATTCACTAACAATCTTCACGAAAGTATGTATTTCTCGGGAGCTTTTTTTCTATTCTCCACTGAGATCGATGATACGAAAGACTCTGAAGAGAACAGTAACGCATGGAACAAATCTTCCATAGGTTAATAATAAATTAACCTGAGTTTTTTGAAAGGTAAAAGAAATTTGTTATTCACCGTTTGAGCTGATGAATTTTAATTCTGGACCACTGTGCAACGGGAGGATACTTGTTCGATCGATTCCACGATGCTTTCAGCTAGATTTGCACTTTCTCGAAAAAAGATTCGATTCGATGTCCGAAAGCGTATTCGACGTATAGATCACGGAACTGAAGGCGAGGACGGCACCGTAAATAAGGGTGGGGAAGCTCGCCGCACGCTCGCCCCTGGAAGTCTATCGATATGCACGATGTACAGCGGTAGGACGAGGGTGAGAGGCCGAGAAACGAGGATGAGGTCGAACTAAAAGGACATGCCTCTGAGCATGGAAATATTGCGAATCCTGGTATATTGGCGTAGAAGAATTTGTGCGTAAGGAAATGCAATTGGAGACGTGCTCGGCAACGACGAAAGCCACGCTCGAACCTCGCGTATACATATGGAAAACAGAGCCTCGCGCGTCTATCTATGACTTATTCTCCCGGTACACCGGAATACGTGACGGGGGTCCGAAGAGTCATTATGCATCGTTGAATCAAACTTCCACGGTAAATACCTGCCTCGGCGACTACGCGTTGCTCTCGACCCAATCGCTTCCAGCTTAATAGACTCTTCGCTATCACGAAGTACGCGACCAGACTTCACAAGGTCGTACACAAAATGCACCTGTCTGCGTGGCCGCCAACGAACAGGGTTTGGCGATTTTACAAGCAACCATTCGAGGTGCTAGGATCGGTATAAATAATTGTAATTTCGTAGGATAAATGCAATAATCGTTAACATCCACGAAACGATAGAAATATTTACAAACGGAGAAAATTATCGCAATGTAAACAATTGTTTCGAGTGCCAAAGTCTGAAATCTTTCTCTCAGATCGCTCCGCCCAGCGATGGAAGAGCAAACGTGCAAACAGTTTAAGTGTCCCGCTAATGAAGTTCGGAAGATTCGAGGTCATCGCATTAACTCGAACTGCAGCAGTTTTCTAAACCGAGAAGCGTGCTAGGTTCTCGGACCGTGGCTTCTCGGCGCTCCCAGCGAACCTTTTTCCGTTCCAGAATCCCCATTACGTTCTTCCGTAAAATCGAGCACGCTCGGGCACGAGCAAAAAATTCCCCGTTCTGTCGACAAGCTTTCCTACTCGGTT